TTCTTGCATTCTCGCCCATATGCGGATGGCTTGCGGACCGCGGGTCGACGCGTCGCTTTCCGCTTCTTCTGGGCTTGTTCGTTCTCCTAGGAGCTACAATCTTGCTGAACCTTGGCAAATCGATTGGGGCTTTGATTGTCGGAAGGCTCCTGCAGGGGGCTTCGGCAGCTGTGGTATGGGTTGTTGGTCTGGCCCTGTTGGCTGATACGGTGCCCCAGGAACGACTCGCAACTGCTGCTGGGTGGCTGACCATAGGCATGTCGATCGGAATGCTCATATCGCCTCTACTCGGTGGCATAGTCTACGACAAGGCTGGTTATAATGCCGTCTTCGGCATGTGCTATGCATTAGTCGGCTTGGATGTGATTCTCAGACTGTTGCTCGTGGAGAAGAAGGTGGCTGCGAGATGGGACGCAACAGTCATGGGACGCTCATCTGGCGAGGGAGACGCGTCCTCAGAGGATAAAGAACTAGGCTCCATCGCCATCGCAAGTAGAAGCGACAGCTTAGGTCTCACCAGGACGACAACTCAGCAAAATCCGGAGTCTGCTGAAGCGCAACAAGAAAGTCCGCCTCGGCAACGTGTGCGCGATCGCCTTCCTCCAGTGCTTTCACTCCTGTATTCCCGACGCCTGCTTGCCTCGCTATTCTGTGCGCTCATTCAAGCAACATTGTTGACGGCCTTCGACTCTGTCCTCGCCATCCACGCCGCCAACACATTCAACTGGTCCTCGACAGGCGCTGCGCTTCTTTTCCTTCCGATCGTCATACCGAGTTTCCTCTCGCCGTTGTGGGGCTGGTTGAGTGACACATATGGAGGGCGCTATGTGGTTGTCGTGGGCTTTCTTGGGGGTTGCCCTCCCCTCGTCTGCCTCCGGTTTGTCGATGAGAACACGATGAAGGACAAGGTGCTGCTATGCGCGTTACTGGCGGTCACGGGGCTCTTTGTGGGCATGACGTTCGCGCCAGTCATGGCAGAGGTATCGGCTGTCGCTGAGGCCAAGGAAAGAAAGATGATCGCAGATGGACGCCCAGGATTCGGCAAAGGCGGTGCATTTGCGCAGGCTTACGCACTATACAACTCCGCGTTCGCTGCCGGTTGCATGGCGGGACCTCTGTTGGCCGGGTTTCTTGCGGAGGACAGCGGCTGGGGGACTATGGCGGCCGTCTTGGGCGCGCTGTCTGCTGTCACTGCCGTCCCGGGTTTTCTCTGGCTAGGCGGATGGGTGCTAGCAAAGAACTAGACACGGTCGATAGGATAGTGTCTCCGAACATCGGCCGCATACACAGACATCTAGTCGGTTGCACTCTGCATGTTGTGAGTCGTGATACATGGCGTCATTGCCTCGGCTTCGTCCCCACTGCCGTTGTTGCCCGACGCCTGGACCCTGCAACTGGCCGGGAGGCGCCACGCCACACCTTGATCGCACTCTCCCTTCTGTCTTCCACCACACGTCCATCTCCGCTCGCCACCGCCTGCATCGCTACATCGGCATCTCGCTGCCACGCGCCTCATTGGGTCTTCGAAACAGGGTTCCATCTCTCCTATGTGGCGATGGCATTCGCTCCTGCATCATACCCGGCGCTCACCCCAATCTATCACTGCACGTCCAGGTCCAATCGCCACTTCACCCGGGAGATGCATGCTGCGTGCAATCAAACCCCTTTTACAACTCTCTTTCCAAGATTTGCACCGCCAGTGCAGTTGCAGCAACAGAGTTCATTGGCATCAGAGCACTAATGAGAGCCTTGTACAATGCCATCACTACGTCATGCACCGAGAAGTAGACATAGGAGGCGCGGAGCAAACACCGCAACCCCGCTTGACAACAGGTTCCCTCTGACGGCCTGGAACAACGCATGGAGATAGGCGAGCGTGTTGCGATTCCCCTTCGACGATGTAATAGGTTGTCAAAAGATTAGTCTGCAGATCTGGGGTCAGATGGTCCATGCCACGCATCTTAGGTTCCAAGATCGTCAGGAACAGCCTCTCTGAGTACTAACACACGGTACTAACTTTACTCCGAACGCTTTAGGCTCGCATCCCACAAGCCGCTTGGTGCGTTAGAAGGGGTCCAACTTGATCAGGTGTTTCAGATTCAAGCAACTACCCACACCGCTACAAATTTCACCATGGCTGATGATCACTCCACGGCAAAATTTTCTACTTCAGGCTTCTCCACGGCAGTCACATTTCATGTGCGAGTATGCACTACAAGATGTCTAGTTTAGACAGCTCATCGCTACCAGAATCTGAGTGCGATGTAGGTCGTTCATTCGTGTGAACGCGTCACATGCGCTTCGGCGTGCTGAGCAAACCCGCCTCCTGACCGCGTCGTCATCCATGTAGCTTTCTGTCCCGATCCGCGTCTCCGGGGGAAGACGTTCACTACAACACCCCAGATTACGTTTCTAGTTAGATCGAAGGGTCCAACACCAATCACGACCCAGGAGACCCATGGGCTTACCAACTTAGATGCCCAGTTCGGACTAGAGGATATCCGTCACATGGCCATAACACAGCAGTCGCGACTCCATCGAGTTCGCTGCCTCCAAGGAAAGCGCGCAAACTCCACCTTGGCCGCATCCACAGTGTTCGCTCGGCAACTTGTTAAATGCACTCACTTGGTCCCATCTACAGACATACCATCACATCTTATTTGGATTGAGCGCCACCGCATCTTCAGAGCCCGTACTGCTACCCTTGATTTCCAACAATACTACCCGACAACATGATTATCAGTCGTGCACTTACTGCGTTATCGCTATGCGCCGCCGCGATTGCAGCTCCAACGTAAGTCACGCGCACGATGCGGAAGAGAACGTCTTTCCTTTTCCGGTGGAAGAGCAGTCACTTCCGTATTCGACACTCCTTTCGTCCCAACGCACATATGACGCAACCGCTAACCCATCTAAAGAGAGAAGCGCGGTGTCGACTTCAAGTGGGGGTCTGACAAGATCCGTGGTGTTAACATTGGTGGATGGTTGGTCTTGGAACCGTACGTATTCCCGAGAGTCTTCACCACCAATTGCCATCCAGTTGCGTTGCTGACTATCCTTCTTACGCAGTTGGATTACGCCTTCTATCTTTGATGGAGCGAACCAAGGCCGTCCACAGAGGGACATCGTTGACGAATACACATTGGGCGAGAAGCTTGGTAAAGATGCGGCGGGAAGTATCCTACGCAAGCACTGGGACTCGTTCGTATCATGGCACGACTTCAACAAGATCAAGCAGTCAGGCTTCAATGTCGTTCGTATCCCCATCGGGTTCTGGGCATACGACACTTTTGGTACACCTTACGTCAGCGGTGCGAGTGTCTACATCGACGCTGCCATCGACTGGTCTCGAAGTCTAGGGCTGAAGATCATCATCGACCTCCATGGTGCACCAGGCTCTCAAAACGGATTCGACAACTCCGGCCAACGAATGGACTACCCTGGATGGCAACGTGGCGACACCGTGAAGCAGACTGTCCAAGTTCTACGGACAATCTCGCAAAAGTATGCTCGGACAGAGTATCAGGACGTCGTTGTCGGTATCCAACTGCTCAACGAGCCCGCGTTGTACACTGGCATCAGCGAAGACGTGACCAGGCAGTTCTATCGCGATGGTTACGGTCAGGTTCGTGAGGTTTCCGACACCCCAGTCATCATTCACGACGGATTCAAGCCTCCGAACACGTGGAACGCCTTCCTCACTCCTTCGGATGCGAACGCGGTGAACGTCGCGGTTGACCACCACGAATATCAAGTGTTTGACAGCAATCTCCTCCGCATGTCACCTATGGACCACGCACGCTACGCTTGCAGCAACTCTCAGACTATCGGCGGTGCGGACAAATGGACGTTTGTTGGAGAGTGGACATCGGCTATGACGTGAGCAGTCCGCATTTTTACAGTTTATGAGACGTCTACTAACGTGTACTAGGGATTGCGCAAAGTACCTCAACGGCTTCGACCGTGGCGCCCGCTACGATGGAACCCTCCCGGGCAGCTCCAGGATTGGATCTTGCGATTGGCAAAACGACCTATCACGGTGGTCAGCCTCCTACAAGGACGACAGCCGACGTTACATTGAAGCCCAGATCGCCGCTTTCGAGAGCAAGACTCAGGGCTGGTTCTGGTGGAACTTCAAGACGGAGGGTGCGGCTGAATGGGATGCATTCCGACTTATCGACGCTGGCGTCTTTCCGGCAATTAGAAACGGGCAGGTAGAGTATAAGTTCGGCCGTATTTGTTAGGAGCGGAATGGGACGGTGACTTATCAACCTCCGGGTAATTGGGGTGACACCTAGAGTCCTGGATAGACGGGGGCATCTACACGAGTAAGGTAACGCACGTTGTTCAGTTGATTGATGGGCTATATACCAGAATACTACGTTTGCGCGCATTCGGAGCTCAGATGTTCTGCAACGTGAGAAAAGCAAGTCGCGCGAACCACGGGGACATGCGATCGCGTGACGTCCGCCAACCGTCGCACCGCTTCCGACCGGTATGACCTTCCAGCTGGAGAACTTATCGCCAGCCGCCAACGGAACACATTATGCGACAGCGCACAACAACGCCGCCAATAATTCGCCATCTCTCCACAAAAAGCACGTTGTCGGCTCCAGTTCTTCCCCAGATTCCCAGCCAAAGGGCGCCGCTTGCGAACCCAGAACCAGGAATCCCACACATAATCTGCTGATCGGCGTCAAAAATGCGACCGAGAAGTCTTGGATAGTGTTCATTCTGACCTTATATTACGATAAGATCTGCAGGCCAAGCTTAGTGGCTGAACAAGCGGAGCGCGCATGTTTGCTATATTGTAGCACGGTGCGGGGAAAAGTCTTGGTGAGATCCTGTGCCAATACCACGCCAAGCAGTTGATTGGAACATGCGTGTGAACATACCATGCCACCCATCATGCATTCAAAAGGAAAGCGCATGCCCTCTGCATGCCGGCACGTTCTACCTGTTGACCTTTTCGAGAGAGACGCTCAAAAGTTTCAGCCAAAATGGATACAAAACGCCAACCCGTAGTCGAGCCGACAGACGAGAAGCCCACGATCGTGGCGCACTTGGAAGACAAGAGTGAGCTTGGTCCAGATAAGCATGCTGGTGCTGTGGACTACACCGGCGCAGAGGCGAAGACAGACCCAGAAGAGATTGCGCTCGTAAGGAAGATTGACTGGAGATTGATGGTACGTATTGCAATGGTAGATCTAGACACGGCTGCTAATGTTATCGCAGCCAACACTATGTGTCATGTACTTCCTCAACTACGTTGATCGTAATGCCATCGCCCAGGCGCGGTTGAACAATCTCGAAGAGGATTTAGGAATGTCTGGCGTCCAGTTCAACACTTGTGTTAGCATGTTAGTATCACACGGAAACTCGCTCGTACTCGAGAAGCAATAGTGACGAACAGGCTAACCTTCTTGCAGTCTCTTCGTGGGATATGTGCTTATGCAAATTCCTAGTAACATGCTTATAACAAGGATACGTCCCGGTATCTACATGAGCAGTTGGATGTTCATCTGGGCCATCGTATCAGCTTGCACAGCGCTGGTTCAGAACTTCGGCGGACTGGTCGCATGTCGGTTCTTCCTGGGTATTACTGAGGCACCCTTCTACCCCGGAGCGACGTACATGCTCTCAATCTTCTACACCAGGAAGGAAGTGGCGACACGTATCGCGTTGCTATACTGTGCGCAGATTCTGGCTACAGGCTTCAGTGGATTGATCGCGGCCGGCGTATTCCAACTGGATGGCGCCAGAGGTATCTCGGGATGGCGATGGCTGTTCATCATGAAAGTCTATCTTCTCTTGCCTGAACATACATCGCGCTAACTCATCAACAGCGAAGGAGCCGTGACCGCATTGGTCGCCATCTGGGGTTTCTTCATGCTTCCCAATACCCCACTCACCACGAGCTGGCTTAACCCACGGGAGCGCGAACTCGCCCATGCACGTATGGAGCGTGACCGAGTCGGCGATTCCACCGAGCCTGTCAGCATGATGGAGGGACTGAGGCAGGCGTGCCGCGACAAGAGGACGTGGCTGTTCTGTCTCATGCAGAACTTCCATCTCAGTGCTTGCTCGTTCAACTCTTTCTTCCCAACGTAAGTACATTCGAATACTCACGGAAAACTTCGCTGACAATAATGGTAGTGTCATCAAGACCCTCGGTTTCAACACCACGATTACTCTCCTACTGACCTGCCCTCCCTTCCTGCTTGCCGGCGCGGCAGGTATCGCTACAGGCTGGAGTTCAGGCCGTATGCATGAACGCACCTGGCATATCACTGGTGGACTGCTAGTCGCCATTGTCGGATTCGTCATCGCTGCCAGTACGATGAACACAGCGGGTCGATACGTTGCCTGCTTCATTTTCCCCATGGGCGCATATTCCGTCAACTCCGTCATCATCGGTTGGGCATCTTCGACCCTCAGTCAAACGAAAGAGAAGAAAGCTGTCGTGTTGGCGATGACGAACGTCGGAGGCCAGATCGGATACATCTACGGCGCTTACCTCTGGCCAGACACCGACAAGCCTCGATACGGAATTGGATTCGGTGCATCTGCTGGATTCGCGCTGCTGTCGATCGCTTGTGCCTGGGCGATTCGCTTGATGCTCATCAAAGAGAACCAAAGGCTCAAGGCGTCGACGAATGAGCGTGTTAACTTGTACGGATACTAGATATGATGACTGATCTCGAAAGGGAGCCATGGAGCGGACGTTGGCTTACATGTATTGGGAAGATTTGGCGTATCACGGATCGAATCACGATTCGATAGGTACACATGTTCGAAATTCAACTATATACCCGCTCTGGCATTCTTCTCTGCACATGAACATGGACCACATCGTTCCTTCCTCGTTGCTGGCACAAGTTCAAACAACTCGAATCCCCTGTGACAAGAATGTAAGACGAAACTGCAAACCATCGGGGATGTAGTCGCTGTACTTTAAATGGCACTGGATGTTGGCCCAAAATTTGGGGGACATACCGCCTCGCTCAGCCGTCAAGCCAGTAAAGCATTCACATCTCGCCCTGCAGTCCGTGAAGTCGGGTCGGCCATGCAAGTGACCCATTCCGCCTTTTTCCATGTGACGTGTGAAAGAAGAAAGTCCTTCAATACCGTCAAACGCGTTATCAATCTCTGCAGTATTCATCATGCCAATGAATGGCGCGGATAAAGACAAGGCTACCAATCAGACGGGCGGATCCTCCGGGTGACCGACGATGCTCTTCGCAGCAGGAAGACTTAGGCACAAGGTCTTCATGATATGGTCGCGGTATTGCGTTTCATTTGCCTTAATGAAGTCGCGTCTGGACAATTGTCCTTTATGCAGGAAGTCATTCCAGTAAACGCGGACATCAAGTCTGGTAACATCTTTGAGATTCGCAAGTGCTCCCAATCCAACTGTAAGTGGTCCATAGCGAAGCAAGCCCAAGATTTCACCCAGAGGACGATACAGCGCGAGAACCCTCGGATTGATTTGGCAGCAGTCAATGACATCGAGACCCAAATCCAGTTTCTCGAGCGAAGGTAGTATGTGGGGTAGCAATGATATCCCTCCTGCGATGTCCCGCTTGATCTTCATGACGATCGAAGCGTCATCAGAGGTTGCTTTCGCACCCAGTCGTGTGAAGTAAGCAGAATAGTCCAGCAGTGAGCCCACTTCCATCATTTGGAGATCTTCGAGGCTTGTAGACAGGGTGTCCGGATTGATAAGACCTTTAACAGTGACTCGAGGTAGGTAGGCATGCTTGATTCGCTGTCGAACTTCCATGGGGACCGAATTTCGGAAAGCACGGAGAAGGTATCGATGTGGCTGTGTATCGCTGCTGAAGGTCCACCGAAACGTTGATCCTGTAAGATACTCCACGGCCTGATAATACGCCTTGGCTGAGTACTGTTCCTTCAATTTCGCGAGGAGGTCGACAGCTGGTGCATGAAGCTGGCCTTCATTATCGTGCAAAAGCCTGATCTGGATCTCGCTGCTGTTGTCGCTCGCTGCCCATTTGAAGATCATCTGCTTGATTTCGAGTGGCAAGAGCTCGTCAAATGCCCTTGCGAATGACATATCCTTGGGAGACATGTCGGTGATGGAGTTGTGCTTGTGATGAGCCGACTGAGCGTTGTTCGATACCGGAATTCAAGTCGACGATCTTTCTGATCGTGCAGTAGCCATAGGCTCGGTGGGATGGAGAAAAGATAAATAGCCCTGGAGTGTCTGAGTGTGTCTCAAGTAGTTGGATTGCAAAGTCTCGTTGTACTAGCAGATTTCCTATCTAGGTATTGTTGTACCAACCTGTACTCTCACCTTCGCCAGTCACTACGCATTCTCACCTTCACTAGTCACCTTCACCGTGTCACCTCACTTGACGCAGGTGAGCATCTAATCGCGTAAGGAACAACTGTCCACGGCGACGATAAGGAGACGTGACCTTGCAATAGAGCAATTCCTCAACTGCGTGTACCATGACACAAGCCCACGAAGACTCGTAAGATCTGTCATTGGCGATACGCCGTTTGTTTGAGACTCGGTCACTTAACGTATCGGGCGGGTAACACTGTTGTTGTAGGCACGCGACGCGCTCTCGAAAGCGCAGGAGCCTGGCGATGACGAAACCTGGCCCCACTTTCACCGCGGGGCAGACTCGGCCGCGCAGCATCTCCAAACCAGCACAGCAAACGTCGGTAGTAACGCCGTGAAGGTCTCTCAAAAATGATCTAGAACGCGGTTTGATGGCGTCGCGCGTATGCAGGCAGCGCCACAGGTGAGTCAGGCAAGATGCAACCTTCCAGCTTAAACCCGTCTCGGGTTTAACGCCCACACTAGCAACGCGGGTGGTCACCAGTCTTTTGTAGGATGAGATCTTTTCCGTGCTTTTCCGTTTCTCTTCATCTTTTCTTCTCGACATCTATAAGCAGTTGATGTTGAGTTTGCATTATCACGAAACGTCAACCCGCGCTCTCTGATCCAACACGCGGCACAGTCCAACATTGCCACCATGGCTCCCACGGCGATATCGCGGATCGCTGGATTTCTCGGCATCACATCACTCAACGCGACTGGACGAGATGCATACATCATCATCACACTGCGATCGTTGAGAATGTTCACGGCCGGCATTCCGTCGCTGATTCTCGCCCTCTTCTTCTCCTCGCTCAAATTTCCGGATTCGAGGATTGGGGTCTTCATGACATTGACATTGCTTGGAGATGTCCTATTGTCATTGCTGCTCACTCTCGTAGCGGACAAAATAGGCAGGAGAAAGATTCTTTTCATGGGCAGTGTGATGATGGCTTGTTCAGGCGTCGCATTTGCCCTGTCGGAGAACTTCTTCATTCTTTTGGTTGCGGCGGTGTTCGGCATCATTTCTGTCACCGGTGCTGACTGTGGTCCTTTTAGGGCTGTCGAGGAGAGCATGTTGAGTGGCCTAACAGACGAGACAACAAGAAGCGATGTACTCTCGTGGTATGTCACAGCGACAACATTGGCAGGGGCCATTGGCGCAGAAGTCGCAGGGAGAACGGTAAATGCTCTCGAGAAGAGCAGCGGTAATGTGACCAAGGCATACCATGCCCTGTTCTGGGGCTATGCAGCCTTCGGAGTGCTTGGGAGCATCCTTTGTCTGGGTTTGAGTAGCAGATGCGAGGCTGCAGGTGAGAAGCGGGCGGAGATGCAAGAGCGAGGACGTGGTGGGGGCCATGGCGAAGAGGAAGAAGTGCTACTGGAGGCGATGACGCCCAGCACCACGGACGGTTTCGACCAAGACCGCGAGCACGTAGGAAGACCAGCGGGTGTCAGGAATCCGCCATCGCAAAAGAAGGCAAGCTACTTTAGTCAGATCTCGCAGAGTACACGATCCGTCATGTACAAGCTCTGGATCCTCTTAGCTGTTGACAGTCTGGCAGACGGCATGACACCTTACTCCTTGATGAACTACTACGTCGACCAAAAGTTCCACGTCTCAAAGTCTACGCTTGGGGATATTACCTCGGCTTCGCAGTTTCTCTGCGCAGTTGGGGCTATCTTCGCCGGACCATTGGCCAAACGCATAGGTCTCATCAACACCATGGTCTTCACCCACCTCCCATCATCGATCGCCAGCGGCTTCATCCCATTACCTTCAAAAGTCGGTTGGACAGTGGGCCTGCTGCTATTCCGAGCTTCCCTCAATAGCATGGATCAAGCACCGCGTACAGCTTTCATTGCAGCAGTCGTGAAGCCTGAAGAGCGTACGGGTGTCATGGGCATCACTAGTATGCTGCGCACGTTGGCCATGAGCGTTGGGCCATCAATCACCGGCTTCCTCTCCGGTAGCGATAACTTCTGGGTGGCCTTCGTGGCTACGAGTATCTGTAGGATCACCTACGACATCGGATTATGGATGTTGTTCGTAAACGTCAAGGTAGACAAGGACGTTGGAAGAGAAGACGACAGGAGTAGCTGTTCGAGTGTAGAAGTGATGCATTAAATATACGGAAGAATCTAACTATATAGACTAGCACTAGCCTAGAAGCACTTACTCTAGCATATAATTGCTTCTTTAATAGTTCTTCTTAGTTATATAATATATTAGTATAAGCTTATTATATCTTTTATACTCTTTAATAGAGGTAGTAGTAGTTTCTTTATATAAATATTAGTAACGTTAGATATAAAACTAATATACTTAATCTTAAATTCTCTCTTAAAATACTTCTCTCTTATAAAGTAGTAATAAATAGTAATATATTTTAAGCGTATAGAGATCTATTAGTTCTTTACTAGAATAATAGTAGCTTAATTATTACTTATAAGAATAAACTTAAAGCTTAGTAAAGATTTAAAGAGCTCTAAGAGTGTATTATAAGAGTCTTACAGAGATTAGATAGTTAATATTATATTAAATTATAATATTATTATAGTAAGGCTTAGAAAAAGTACTTAAGAGTTAAATATATATACTATAAGTTATTAGGCTAACGTAGGCCTAACGCCTAAGAAACTAAACTATTATATATTCTTCTCTAAAAGCGCTTAAAGTTCTAACTAAGTAAATAAAAGAGAGAATCTATTACTATAACCTATCTAAGATAGTATTAATATGTCTAAGAGCCTATTCTACAACGTCTATAACTATAAGCTAAGAACGTAGAATAGTAGAAAGTATAATAAAGAAAAAGTAGAGTAAAGAATAAAAAGCGTAGAAGAGAATATTAGTAAGAAGTAATAAGTAGTAAAGCCTTTAGTAAACTAGAATATCTATACAGAGAACTCTAGACTAGGTAAGGCTAATAGGTTATAAGTAGAGTAGTAAACTACCTTATAGCCTATAGTAGCTATAAAAGTTAAAGTTAGGTAAAGATATATATTATAATTAGCTTAGTAGGCTATAGAAGTATTATAGCTAAATAAGTCTTTAAATAACTAGCTAGTTTTTTTTAAGTATACAAAGTCTAGTAGCTAGAGTATAGTAATAATAAGCTTTTTATTATTATTATACGCGTAGAATATATTATAAGGCTCTAGCTTACTAGAGTTCTACTTATAATAGTTATAAATAAACTTCTTATATCTATAAAGGTTATAATATAGCTACTAGTTATTACTTTAATTATTACTTACTTACTTAACTATATACTATAGATACTCTTAATAGCGCGTATATAGATTAATAATATTATACTATATATAAAAGTCTAGAACTTAAGTAATAATATACTCTATAAGGCTCTTATTAGTAAGATAGACTTCTAGAGAATTAATATTACTAGTATATAGCTAACTTAAGAAAGTATTATTCTTATAGAGCTATAGTAGCTATAGATAGAAAGTAGAAAAGAAACTTTATAAGTTCTAAAGAAAATCTAATTTATAAGCTATATAATTAATTACTTAAGTAATTTAGTATAGGCTAAGGTTTTTATAATTAAGTAACTTAATAGGCCTTTCTATCTTAATATAATAGGCATTAAGTATTACTTAGTTACTTACTTTAAACTTAGGTATAAAGTAATAGTTTATATTAGTAAACTTACGCATCTTTTTATAGAACTAGAGAAGCTTCTTATAGAGAAAGTATTATATATTATTAATACGCGTTACTAGCGTATCTATAGCGTAGGTTTATAGTATTATAGTATAGAGTTAAATATAAAAGAGTTTAAGTCTAGATCTTAATTAATAGCTCTTTATAGCCTAGAATAGAAAAACTCTAGTTATAGCGCTAACTATAGAGTTAGCTTTAAACTCTATAAGAGAAAGTAGCTACGTTTAGTTTATTTAGAGATAGTTAATATAGAAGTATAAGTATTACTTTAAGTTAGCGTTTATATTCTTAGTTTAGCTATCTATTTCTAGATAGTAAGACGTAGATAGCTTAGGTACTATACTAACGCGTTTATAGAGTTATTACTAAAATATAGATATAAACTAGTAGTCTTAGTTAGAAATAAGCGTATATAAGTACTTTTTCTTTCTCTATATATACTTTATAAACTTATCTACTATAGTAGAGACTTTAAAGTTTTTTATAGTAATAAACTTTTTCTTTTTAGAAAGGTAGTCTATAATAACTATAATATATTAGTATAAGTAGCTATACTACTATAATAATAGCAAAGGTGTAATAAAGTTAATAGAAATATTCTTCTAGTACTTTTTAGAAACAAATAGTAGGTAGAGTAATTTATATTTTATACTATAATTAACTTTAAAATAATAACATATTATATAGCTATTTATAAATTACGCTATAGTATTAGTTATACCTTACTAATAGTACTACTTACTAACTTACTAATAGATAGTTATCTATCTACTATATTCTCTAGAGAGGCTATTATAGATATACTTAATAACTCTTATATAAAGCTTCTTACTAAAGAGCACTAGTAATTAGTTATTATAAAAAAAGAGCTATCTTTTATTACTAGCTTCTAAATTACTAAGTTTAAGGCGTAGGCCTTTAATAATTAGATAGTAAAAGATATAGTAATTACTAGCTTTAAAAGCCTACTAAATAGCTATAAAGCGTCTATTAAACTTATAGAGCTAAGTAATAATATTCTTTAAGCTTATCTTATTAGCTTCTATAAGTGCGTTAT